CAGCGGCTCTGGCTGCAGCGCACAGAGCTGGACATGCTGCTGGCCGAGGGCTCTGCACCCCGCTCCTGACACGGCTGCTGCTGCTGCCTGCGGGAAGGGATGGGCACGGCCACGGCTCCGCACAGGGACCCAGACTCGGCAGCCCTCGGTGCCTGGGCCCTGCTCCTGTAAATTATTCAGTGCATCAGTAAAGTGGCTGCCTTGGCACGGGGTGTTGTGTCCTGGGGAGGGGGACAAAGATGCCTGGTCCAGGGGCAGGGGCTGCAGTGATAGCTGGCAGCACAGGACCCTGCAGGAGTGGGCCTGGGATCTACAGAAATGCGGGGAGAACCTGGGGTGTCATGGAGGTCTCCTTGTCCCCAGGGTGAGACAGAAAGAGAACAGAGGCACAGCTTCTTCCAGTCAAAGAATGAGGTCTCTCTCTCCCAAAGTTGCCACTGCCAGGTGTTTTTATTGATGGCAGAGTTGGGGTTCCCCCCACAGACAGCACAAGCCAGGACCCCATGGGATAGGACTGATCCTGCCAGGCCTGGGCATCCCCAGGCCCCAATCTCTCTTCTCTCTGGGGCCCAGGGCCACGCTCATCCAGCCCCAGACTAGAGCCTGCCCCATCCTTCACGTGGAGATGGAGCTGGGAGCCGTCCTGGAAACGGATGGAGCCCCGTGGGGCACTGGGACTGTTGGGCTGAGGGAATCCTCCTCAGCCAGGACACATCACGCCTGTTCCCATGGGACAGCTCAGGGCTTGCTGCGCTTGGCCTGGCTCTCCACTGCCGTGCCGGCCGCCCGCTTGTTCCGGTGGTGTGGGAAGGTGGGCATCAGCTCTGGCTCACAGGCTGTGGGGCACAGAAGAGGGGTCAGCAGGGCCCAGAGCCTCCCCAAGTCCTGCCCTGCCCCAGGAAGGGGAGTACTTACGCAAAGGCTTCTCCTTGAAGTAGGAACTCTCCAGGCAGTCCTTGGCTGTGGCCCTGCAGGGACAAGGGCAAGTGGCAGGGACTACCCCAGCCTGGGGAACAGTGTGGGGCTGGTTCCCTGCCCTGCCTACCCCACATCCTGCCTGCTCTTACCTTTTCTTGGGGTCGTACATGAAGAGGAAGTTGAGCAGTCGCAGCCCAGCCTCCGAGAGCCAGGGAAACCTGTGTTTCAGGTTGTTGTAGGGCTGTTTGCGCAGGGTGTACTGGGTGGCCAGCGGCAGTTTGGAGAACCCCTGGGGGAAACACAGAGTGAGGAGGGGCCAGGGGAGCAGCCAGGGAGAAAGGACAGGGAGAATGGGCAGGGAGCTCTCACTGGCCAGATGTTCTCGTTGGGTGTTCCCAAGAGCTGCACGATGAGGTCGATCTGGTGGATCTCAGAGGTGCCTGGCAGCAGCGGTTTGTGTGCCAGCAGCTCGGCCAGGATGCAGCCAGCAGCCCTGCGGAGCACAGGAGCCTCTCCAGTGATCCCCCTGCAGTTTGCGGCCCCCCAGTCCCATCCAGGCAGCCTCAGCATCCCCCCCTTACCACATGTCGATGCTGGTGGTCTGGGTTGTCATCCCCAGCAGCAGCTCTGGTGCGCGGTACCTGCACAGGGGACACTCGGTGGCAGAGCTGGCACGAGCCTGTCCTGCTGGGAGGACCCACCCCAGCACCAGCCACTCACCACAGAGTCACCACTTTGGGGGTCATGGGCTTAGGGGGCATCCCATAGGTGCGTGCCAGGCCGAAATCAGCTGCAACAGAGAGTCAGGGTCAGGAGGGAGCCAGCTCTGAGCTCTGCTCATGGCACAGAGCAGCCACAGCCATGCAGGTGCTGGGACTCACCTATCTTCACACAGCCTTTGTCCGTCATCAGCAGGTTGGAGACCTTCAGGTCCCTGTGGGAAAGAGCAGCTGGAGGTGAGAGACCACAAGCAAAATCCACTGCCATCGTTCCATGGCCTCCCTGCCCTGCCGGTGCTCCCGCACTGATGGGCACCAAAGCCGCACCCAGAGCCACTCCTGATGGTGCTGCCTGCTCTCATGATGTGCAAGGTGTCCCCTTTGTCCCCCAGCTCCATCCTGCCACTCCCACCTGTGGATGATGTAGTTCTCATGGAGGTACTGAAGGCCTTTGAGCACCTGCAGGATGATGCACTTCACCTGGGGACAGAGGACAGGAGCTGTAACCTCTGTGGGAGCAGCACTGACTGCACAAACCCCTGCAGGCCAAACCCAGTAGGGTGTCCTGCAGTCCCTCCAAAGCTGTGTCCTCCCAGGGGGTTCTGGGTGGGCATTTTCTCCCAGTTCTGTTTCTCTGACAGTTTGCTCCAGCCCCAAACCCAGCCTGGGAAGTCCCTGAAGGGTTTACTGAGAGTCAGCAAAGCCCAGGCTCCATCAGAATCCCTGGAATCCCCCAGCTCAAGGCCTAGGGAACCCTTCAAGGTGCCCACATGTTATGGCAGGAATGGCAGCACCCTGTCAGGACCTAAATCCTGCCCCACCCTGTACCTGAGCTTCTGAGAAGGGTGTTTGCATGTTCTCCAAGAGACTGGCCAGGTCCTGCTCGCAGTATCCCATCACCAGGAAAATGCTGTCGGAGACAAGGTAAGGTCAGAGCCTTCCCCAGGACAGGTTTGTGTGCTGAGGTGGCTGAGGGCTCCAAGGAAGGTTTGAATGGCAGAGGGAGGACAGACAGGGGACTCTTACCTCTCCAGGTGGTTTCCCACAACCACCTCCTTCAGTTCCACAATGTTGGGGTGCTGGAGCTGCAGGAGCAGGGTGATCTCCCGCAGGCTGCTGATGGGCATTCCTGGAGGAGGGAGGGAGGAACAGCCGAGCTGCAGGAATGGCCTGGAGCCAGAGCCAGGACAGAGCAGCCCCTGTTCCCCCCGCTCCTCCATTACCATCTTTCTCGTTGTCCATCCGCACCTTCTTCAGCGCCACCGTCTCGTCGGTCAGCGTGTCCCGGGCACGGTCTGGGGGCAGCACAGGCCACCTTGGCACCAGGACACACACCTGGCTTTGTCCCGGCCTCCCCTCAGCTCCCCAGCTCAGCTGCAGGGGGGAATCTGGCCCCTCCCGACCCGGGGAGCTGGGATTCCAGCCGGGGGAATGGCTTTCCACCGGCAGAGGCAGGTTTAGATGGGATATCCGTAAGGAATTCCTCCCTGCGAGGGTGGTGAGCCCCTGGCACTGGGTGCCCGAAAAAGCTGTGGCAGCCCCGTGCCTGGAAGTGTCCAAGGCCAGGCTGGACAGAGCAATGTGATCTAGTGGAAGGCGTCCCTAGCCACGGCAGGGAGTGGAACGGAACGAACTCGGAGATCCCCTCCCGGTCCC